TATTCCGGCTTTGCGTATTGCAGAGTTATCTTCTCTTGGGAGCAGGTATTGATTGTTACGTCACTTGTTTGTGAGAATAACGTCATCAATTTTTGAGGAAACGACGTTATTTTCTCACACAGACCAATGACGTAACAATCAATACCTGCTCCCAAGAGAGGATAACTCTGCAATACGCAAAGACGGAATACGCACATATCAATCAATGACTAGATCAATTTATCAAGCATTGTTTTTCATAGGAACACCCAATATTTCAATAAATGGTTTCATTTCAAAGCTGATTGTCAAAGGATTGGGATATCCTACCTTGTCAAAATAAAATATACGATAGTTTTGATTATTTAAGCACTTCTTTTGTTAATCAAGTTCGCTGATGGTGAAAAATATAACTTCTTTGTACGAATGACACGACGAAAACCCTCTATATATTTCAAGAAATGATTTATTTCTGATAACAGTTGGAACTCATCTTTGAGGACATTAATAACAGATCGGTTATTATTAGTATATAACATATTTTCAGTGAATATACCAATTTCAAATATCAAGCGTATGAAGTCAGGTAAATTTCCTGTTGTGAGGTCATAAAAATATTATTTAATGACATCACAATATGATGACGTCATAATGGAAACAATAGATATTGAGCAAAGATGTCGGAATTGTTGACTAAAAAATAATCTGTTAATCTGGAAAAGAGAATTATTGTCGCAAAATGTGTTGATCGTGTGATCAAACCGCATCTGTATCTTAAATTTGTTCTAATTTCATTTAAGGTATATGAACCCGTCACATGTTTTTTTTTTAATCTAGCTCTCTGCGGTCTCGTTTGAGAAAATACACATGAAATGAAAACTGACGCAAGATCCTGAAGATATATAATAGTTTTAATATATCAGAAACTCTAGACAAAAGCTCGCCATTCGTAGAAATACCACAACATAATCGTCATAACGGTACACATACTATCCGTTGACACCAAAGGCAGTTGCCATGACATTATATAGTAAATCTATATTATTTCTGATTCCGCTTTTTTATTACTTAAATGTACTTGAAAGAGCTTTGGTTTTGTAGAAAACACGTAAGAGGTGATTTAACAGTAACATTTAATGGGTAGTACGTTTCTGTTCACAAGAGATTATAAATCACAAAGCATGGCTTGACTCCCTCAAATTAAATCACGAGGGATTAGAAAGGGATAATAATACCGCCATTGTAGAACTTCTGATTCCAAATCATCTTCATATAAATGTGTTTGTTAGATACCAATAACAAACATGGACATACATAAGAAATCGATTGCTCATGAAACCGGAATATATTTCATAGTGGTAGTATGCATAACCTTTTTATTGTAAGGCGTCCGGTTTTATGCTTAACAAAAGACGTCTGCCGTAGACAGACATTGAATTCGATATCGGGATTAACACAATAATTCCTTTTTTTATTCACCGAGATGTTGGTTTGAAATTTTACCCTCGTGACATTTTCAAACGTCTTTTTGTTGACTTTTCAGCAGACTGCGACAACAGACATCTTCAAGTCTTTGATGACACAGTGACGTCGTTTATAGTTGGTGCATGGTTGTCGGAGAAGAAATTATGAATAACTGGTTATCGGGTTGAAATCAGTAACGACCACATCGACATGTTAATGCATCAGAAAACATATCATCAAAAAATAGCTTACAGAAAGTATATCAACTCAAGAAATAATCAATGTAAGTGGGTTTTTTAAATTTCAAAGCAGCTAGTCCTTGATGCATTCTAGACATCGAATGCACGTGCACCACGTCACATGCACGTACTAAACGAACAATATTTCGTTTTCTAGTCCACGAACAACATCCGACATGTACTACAGTTTATTACGTCATCAATATGTGCACGTACTAAACGATGACACGTTCACAGACAAAATTGGCCGGATGACTACAGATGTCGTCATATAATCTATCCACCTTTTTGTGAAGGTTATGAAACACCACCGACACGTAGCCACAGTCCGCCCCCTGGCCGTTATACCTCCGGTCATTGTCGTTAGGTTGGTCTCTATTAAACTCAGGAAGATTTCCTATCAGGTTGCCGTTCTCCCAACGCCATTCACCTTCCACAGCTCTGTCTGTCAGACCTAACAGGTACCCAACCATCCCCGCATCTATAAAACAGTTTCAAAACTTTGAATGTCCACTATATTAAGTGATCCTAGTACTATGAATGTCAAGCAAACGTGGTTTTGTTATGTCGGTATGTTATATGAGTAATTGAGAGTGACGCTCGGAATGCCTCTTGCGATATCACTGTTAATAGTTTTGAATATAATGCCAAAGATGTCTTGTGAGTTCCTGTTGTCAGCCGATTGTGGCAAATGCGTGTTTGTTTTTTCTAACATATATTGTGTATCGTAATTCACTTACTTCAAAAGTGAAGAAATTTGCTCTTACTTTGAAAATGGAATCCTCTCTTGCCAAATGTGTTTGTCATTAGTAAAAGTAAGAAATAATGAAGTTGAACAGATGCGAAATCAAAGGGTTCCGCTTATTGAACATATATTATCTATGAATATTTCATGACAAAATTAAAAAGTGTGCGCGACACGCAGATGATGCAGGTAGATAAGTTTGATTGAGAATCGTGCGGCAGCATCACGGTACGATTGGCCGTCTTTAAAGCCTAGTAGCGATCCTCTTTAGTGTTAAATGACCGTTATTTTATACCTGAAACCATACAAATAGCTTACCAAATACCTCCGGGTTCGAAAGGACATAAAGCAAGGAAGTAGAAAAGAAGATATGTTATTCGAAAACGGAACCCTTCGAGTTTGAACATGGAACAGCTGTTGTGCACATTGTTTTTTTTTTTTTTTTTTTTTTTTTTTTTTTTTTACATAATAAAGAAAAAACTCACGGTTTGCTCTGATGTGATCATTTAGAGCTATGAAGGTTGGCTGATTGTCTAGGACCGCCATTCGTCCTCCCTCTGTACTACAAGTAGTTTTGGCGTCGTCAAACGTACTGTTCTCCTCATGAACCTTGAAGCAATGGGTGTCTATGGCCACGTATCCGTCGGTGCCACAAACTGAAGTTTGAGATAGGATATAATTACAAATCACTTTTACTTGAAACGCTGAATATATTTCAAATATATACTGTATATCACTTTCCTTCGTGGTTTGAAACCATTTAGTTACTTCGCGCAGAAAACCGTTTTCCACGTAAAGCGATGGATCTATCAAGTTAACATTGGTGAATTCACTGTCTCTTATGCGGAGGATACAGAGAATATTTTACAACAAACAAAGGTCATTCACAGTCTCTCAATCAGCTCCTGTGTACAATTGTCAATGCTAATTCACTCTGGTGAATGTGTTGTTTTTTTGTTGTTTTTTTTTGTTTTTTTTACCAGACAGTGTAAGTGTGCATGCTGTCGTCAGCTGATTGATTGATTGATTGATTGATTGGTTTTACGTCCGCTTCACTACCGAGTAGTTCGGTCATCCAGCCGACGTATAGCAAAGACAGGAAAATGAGTAGAAGGGATAAAGGCTGGAGTGAAGGGATAGGAAAGGGAGACAGAGGAGAGAAGGAGCCGTCTATCGTTTGAATAATTCCGCTAGAAAAAAATAAACGATAAATTATTTATCAACTTTATATCCATGCATAACTACGGAAGCAACTATCTGCTAGACTAACAGTACCAATGAAAGGTGCACATACATTTCTATTGAAGTGGAGTAAAGTTCAGCAAGACCCACGAAAAATGCTAACGTCACCCAAAATTCCAACCCCCTGATATGTTACGTTTACCGATCACAATGAAAAATTGGAATTCAGATATGTAATTTGTATAAATTGATCTTGTACATTAGCTATTACAATGGTACGTAAACACGTGAACGTAACCATTACTAAGGCATTAAAGCTATCGCGTGTTGTATCCATAGACAATGAATGTATTTACAATTGTTATTTATCCAGTCTACTCAGCTGTAAATGAGTACGTGGTTGGGCTGTGCTAGAATTGTTGAATGCTAGCTGTGCGCGTCGAAATGGCAGCACCGCCCGTATGCTCTGTATGCAAGATTGTGATAAAGCGGTCTATAAGAAGCTCGAATTATAATTACTTGTTATGATTAAAATCATATCGCAAAACGTAATGTTAAAAAGATATTGAAGTACAGTGTATATTGGGAATTGCAATAATATTGGCCATCTCTAAAACATAGCATTGTTTCAACTCAAAGGACAGAATTGAATAAGTCCAAATCAAATACAATAGGACCACAACAGCAAAAGAAGACATCAATAGAAAATAATATACATCAGTAGTCAAAAGTTGCTTCTGAAATGAAAATGCTTCCTCCCCAACATGGGGTATCCGTCAAGATGTCTGTAGTCAAATCTAAAAATAATGTGTAGGTCACCAACGATCTAAGACATATAGAGATCTTGAAAGCATGCCAAGTTGATTAACACCGTACTTCGGCATCGTAGAATAAAAGGCCTCCGGTACAAAACCCTGACTATATATCTTATTATTCAAAAGATTCTCGGAAAATATAATCTGTTTGACGTATCACTAATAAACCAATCATAATAATACTAAGGGCAGGCTCTGGGATGTCTTTTTACATTGCTATAGATTGATAACATTGTGTACAGTGACTGAGCGTAAAAGTAGACGTTCACACTGAGTGAGTAGCATCAATCCGGTGAATATCAAAATGTGTCATCAATGTGAAATACATAAGAACAGAAGCATAGGTATGCAGTGAAAACAGTAAAATAATGTTCTTATCGTAATTATAGATGCATTGTTAGATAGCTGGATTACTGGTACAGTCTGATGTCGAAAGTTATTATTATTATTATTATTATTATTATTATTATTATTATTCTGTCCCCATTAACGTTCCCTGCACAACTAGAAAAGACGTTTTATAAAAAAAAACCCCATTTCATATGTGGATCATTTAACAGTTAAGGTATGGGTATGCGGAATATAGCAAGTTTATGATCCCCCGAGGCCAGGACTTTTTCTCGAGGCGAAGCCGAGGGAAATAGTCCTCGCCTCGGGGGATCATAAACTTGCTATATCCCGAAATACCCATACTTCAACTGTTTTATTATACCGATACAAACACTCCTTGCAATATTCTAAATATTATTAGACAACAAATGTTCAACAGTTGGGACGCTTTATTAACAAAACTAAAATTTTCTTGAGAATCAACATCAGAAAAAAAACAGTATTTGCAATAACATGAAATAAAGGATAGCACATGTACAATATGCAATAAACCACAGTTTGCCGGAAATTGCCGACGTAATTCGATTGCGCTGATTGGTCAATATTCGGTCAGGCCCCACCCACGACGACACTCAATTTCCCGCATTTTCCGAGGGAAATAGTTTCAAAACTATCGCACCCCTCCAGACGAACTATTTCCCTGGCAACCAGTTAGAGGGGAAATAGCTTGTTTATGTGGTTACTTTTGTATAGTGTAAAAAAAGTAGAGGTATAATAATATAAGTTATGATTTGTCATACGTTTGTTTAAAATCAAAACATTCAATTCACAAATGTGGACAAACACTGGTATGATTAAATGGTATGTTATTTCCGATGAAGAGAATGCTACTCTATTCAATTTCATTGGTACATTTCAGTTATTTGTTTGAGCTTGAGAAACAAACCTGTTTTTAGTTACCAAGGGGAAAGACAACTTAGTGACAGACGCACTACCTTTCTGAAACTTTCGCTAGATCATCCTCTCATGTTATGCTGTGATACCAGAGAGATGATGTTAGTTTTGCCGTTAGTTAATACGCTCTTAAGCATGCTGATGATGCTGCAATTAGGATCCTTATGTGTGAGTAAAAAAAAATCAAGCGCTCTTGTGTAATTAAGATCAATCTCAACCCTCGGGATAAGCTTTTTGAAGTTAAGCACCCGGCAAAGACTCGAGCAAAACTTCAAATAGCTTAACCTCCGTTGAGATTTCGCTGTCGACTCTAATTACTTAAGAGTGATGTATTATTCAAATCATCGATAACTTACCGAAACTTCCGATAACGAAAGGAATATTCAGGATATCCTCTTCGAAATACATCCAGTCGTGGCCGTATCTCACTTCCGTTGACCACGTGGTATTGTCTTCTCTGAATACCTGACATTCCTGGGACTCATTATTGAAACCCACAAAGACACAGTCGGTGTACATGTCACACTCATTAACGCATACAATGAGACTAATCGTATGGTCTAACATCCAAGGAACTTTCGTCACAACATGGCTTTTTAGATCACTCCTGGAGCTGAACCGTCTCCCAATCACCTCCGTGTAAGCAATATCTAAAACAGAAAGTAATGGTATGTCTGGGTTCACTATTCGTCTTTGCGTATTGCAAAGTTGTCTTCTCTTGTGAGCAGGAATCGATTGTTACGTCATGATTTGTGTGAGAAAATTACGTCGTTTTCTCAAAAATTGATGACGTTTCTCTCAAAAACAGATGACGTAACAATCAATACCTGCTCACAAGAGCAGATAACTCTGCAATACGAAAAGACGGAATAGCATCAATCCGGTGAATATCAAAATTTGTCATAAATGTGAAATACATAAGAATAGAAGCATAGGTATGCAGTGAAAACAGTAAAATAATGTTCTCATCGTAATTATTCCGTCTTTGCGTATTGCAGATTTATCTTCTTTTGTGAGCAGGTACTGATTGTTATGTCATTTGTTTGGGAGACTAACGTCATCAATTTTTGAGAAAACGACGTAATTTTCTCACACAAACCAATGACGTAACAATCAAAACCTGCTCACAAGAGAAGATAACTCTGCAATACGAAAAGACGGAATAGATGCATTGTTAGATAGCTGGATTACTGGTACAGTCTGATGTCGAAACTTATTATTCTATCCCGATTAACGTTTCCCTACACAACTAGAAAACTGTACTGGTGACGGCTGTGCTAACGATACTCATCTGTAACGTCACGCTACCGCTATTGGTACGCTACCAAAATTGGTTCAAGGTCAGAAAATGGCTCGAAAAGTACTTTAAAATATGTATCGAACTATTTCCCTCTGATAGTAACAAAAGAGATATTTATCAGCATTCTCACCAAATAGTTTTATTTTCAGCGACATTTAAGAGTATGTACGTTGATTTCAAATGAAACATGTCAGAACATCAGAAAGAAACGGCATACGTCGACGATATATTTTATATATATAGGGTTAATTAAATAGAAATGTATATTATACGTTCTCGCTTACATTTTGTAACATGTACAGTGTTGACGTCACGCTGTTCTCCGCGTTGCGTTTCGACTTTTAAATATAAGGTGTTTGGTTACACTTGTGCTTATATTTGATTCTGCCTCGTTTCGATATCGTCACGTGACGTTATCGGCGCTATATTTAATGGGGCTTTCCCGTACAAATCGAGTGATCAAACTGGACATTTGGACTTGATAACGTCGTATTTGCCGTCGTTTTCGACCATTTGTTTACTGTTTTGTAATAATTAACATCCATATTCGTCATGACTTATCTTAGCTGTTAATCGAGTGGTGTTCATAAAAAATGTACTTATTAAAACTTATTAAATACTGAAGTTTTGAAAATAGTAGAAAAAAGCATGTTATTGAAAATACTGTTATTGTACATTTTAAGCGAGAATGGGTTATTTCAGTCGAGGGCTAGGATTCTGTAGCATAATCCAAACCGAGGTGTAAACCTTGGTGGTTGAATTCTGTCCCTAGGCCTGGACATACCAAAATCCTTAAAATGTATATTCCCTGCTTAGCGTTCAGCATGTAAGGAAGTCGTGATGTCTTACTGTTAGCACGTTGTCGGTATGGCGTGACAGGGTGGAAGACGGTGTTGGGTGCTTTCGGTAGGATATTTCAGTTAGGTAGCACTATAAGTCGGCATCAGATCTGCGCTATCGGAAAGAAGCAAACACACCAATTTACCGTCTCCAGTAGACATACAAAAAGTAGGCAAATATTACACTAATGGCGGAACGTCCTTAAAAAGGTCTTTATGATTATTAAACCCAATAACTGATGGGAAAGCACATCATCAAAAATGGAATTTGTCGATCCGATATCAGTTCTTTGACGATCTTTCTTTTCAGCTCAATCGGTAGAGCGGCGGACTAGGAAGCCGGGGGTCGCGGGTTCGATCCCCGGTGGAATCACATTACTCTCTGTCCTGTTATAAATGGTGTCCGTGGCCCTCCCTGTGGTGACAGGGAGTTAGAACCTGGGTTGTTTTGGTATTCGGGGGCAAATACATTAAATAGGGTGAGTAGTGTGGCAGATTTTGATTGTGCATTGAATTACGGTCGCCTTCTAGCTTTGCGCTGAAGGGATTTTCCTTTTTCCTCAATTGAACTAGGAAGCTCGCGGTCGCGGGTTCGATCCATACATTATACTTCTAACGATTGTTTAACAACAATTATGAAAAAAAGTCTTTTGCCACTTACATTAACCACTTTGTTCCAAACAGTTTGTAGCGCATACGAGTCTTACTTTGGGAGGAAACCAAATAACCCGGCGAATGACCCAATACCTTCTCAGGTCCGATCGGGGAATCAAACCCCGGTCGCTTGGTGAGAAGCAAGTGCGCTATCCACTGCGTCACTCGACCACTCTAGTGAGTGTCTCCTAAAGTGAATATAATTAGTATGTACTTAGCGATTCGTACTTAATAACACAAAAAAAACGTGGTAATATTACTTACATACATGTATCCCCACCAACAGTGGGAGGCACCAACAGTGGGAAGCACCACCAGGGAGAAGACATGTTTAACAGTTGTATACTGATACTTACATGAAAAGAATAGCACCGCTACCAAAGTCCAAACCCTCCTAACCATGATTGTTGTTGGTATCCTCAATCCTCATTGCTGGAAGTCGTCATTTCTACTCAGTGGTATATCCATCGATGCGTGATACGTGATACGTACAACTTCATTGGGTTTTTTTTAACACCGTTCAACGCCAGCATTGGACGATTATTTAAAAAAAATACCACAAGACTACGATTCCCGGTCTGTTGAGCGTCCACACCGAGTTATCTGTACCTTACCTTTAGAGGAATGGCGTTCGGTTATGCACTTTCGACCATAAAATATTGATGATTCCAGGGCTGCATTGATGTGGAAAATAACATCCGATACCGTCAAAGCGTTTTTAATGTATAAACTTCTTTCCAAAAGCTCAGTGGATCGTTCACAAATCTATTCCCGGGGGCGATATATACAGAGCAACTTAGCGGATCCAGTTTCGGTTGCGCGGTTCAAGATGAATGCGACAAGGGAAATTACTGAATTATTCAACATATTACTACGGAAAATTTATCTTCAAATCTTACAGAAACTACATCCACATCAAGAGACGATTGAAATCCTTTCGAGTCTTCCATCCCATCCATCATGTGAGACGAAGGAAACGCCTTGCATACTGCACCAGGCCTCCATACTGTAGGGTACCTCATTTTATCGAATACTTATTTTCGCGATTGAATTTCCAACAAAGTAGTACTCATGCCATAACAGATATAAAGGGTGGCGTAGATATGTTATCTCTACTTCCTATAAGAGCCTTTTAGTTTTCTGTCGCCTTGCTTGGCATTACTAAATTTATATACTACATATGTCTCTGGAAATACCTCAATCTTCGCAGTTCCACCTTGGGAAGGCAATGGATTCAGTCCCATGCTGGGACATACTAAAATCCCTAAAAACGGAATAGTTTTTTTCTAGCTAAATGTTAAGAATTTAGGGTAGTTGCAACATCGAGCTTCACCACCGAGTGATGTTTGTTTATCATGTTTATCTACTAGAATTATTTTTCAAATCGTGCAAAGACACGAGGTTTACCGAACGTCTTTAACTGTTTGAAAATAAACCAACGAGAGTTAGATCAACACGGTAATCAACCATGCATCATGCGTTTAGGGACCCTTATCTCCCACTAGGATCTTAATTACATTTGTACAAATACATTATTCCTGTTTTAGATTGGGGAAGCGATTACCATGAACTATATGGCATCACAATGGAAGATGACGTCGGAAAGCATTGTTATTGACGTCCTAGTTAGAAAATTGGCAAATGAAATCACGTTCATGGTGTACGAAAAAGGTTTACCAACTCCTAGCAGGATTATCCAATGAGTCGGGGGTGAAGAAACCTAGAGTGGTTTAGGAAGAAACCTGGTTAACTACCCAACTGAAAGTATAAAGGGACACAGTGCTGACTGCCCTTGGCATGATTTTGATTTAAACATATTTTATTGTAATTTATATACAATGGAAGTTGGGCACAAGTTTTACAACTTATATTAAGCCCTTTCCCTACAATGTATTACTACAACTTATCAAGATGGCATATAACATATATATTTACATTTGCTTTAATTGAGAGAGAGAGACACACACACACACACACACAGAGAGAGAGAGACAGAGGGAGGGGGGGGGTGGTGAAGAGAGACAGAGAGAGGGGAGAGAGGGGGAGAATGAGAGAGAGAGCTAGATTCGGATTAGTTGGTAAACATTAAGAAGTGCAGGAAAATATACTCAAAATCTGTTAGTATCTAGAATAAATTGCTGCGTCTGTTTGGCTATTAAGGTGTTTTCTTGATACGACAATTCACTTTTACTGTATAGTAGTAGCTGCAAGTTAAGTGGAATGAAATCATTTAATTCGCGGTAGAGTTTAATTCTCTGATCCGCATAATTATTGCAAGTAAAAAGGAAGTGATATGTATCTTCGATAGGATGTCCATATTGACAGTGCTGAAAATCTATAAAATTAGCATGAAATAAGTGATTGTTTAAGGTACTAGAGTTATTTCTCAATCTGGTGTGTAAAATATTACTTTTTCGATCACCAAGGAGATAATATATAGGGACTTCTGATGTATTAAGCCTGCGAAGAGTGTCTTTATAAGCTGTATATGAAACGCTGTGTCTTATATTAAGGTCTAACTGGTTCCAGAGTCGGATTGTGGAGGGGAAAAAGGACAAATTTGTTAATTGAAGTCGTGAATTAGGTATACAGTAATTTTCAGCATTACGGAGGTTATAGTGTGTTTTCTGAAATTGTAGGGGGAAGTAAAGAGGTAAGAAAGTTAGGTGTAAGATTCTTATGGATTTTGTAAAATAGTTGTAATTTCCACCGAGTTCTACGTTCAGATAACGTTTCTAGACCAGTTTCAAAATACAATGATTCTCTACTTGAGTAAGATGGTAACCCGGTGATAATCCTTACAGCCTCAAGCTGAAGTTTTTCTAATTTGTCTGCGTCACCGAGAGTGCATGATACATCTATATTTCAATGAGGTAGCACTTTAAAGTCGGCATCAGATACGCGGTATGGCAAGGAGGCAACTACACCCATACCTATACAGCATCCAGCACACACGCATGCGGTACACACATAAAGGAATATCCTTAAATAGACGCTAAACCAAAATAAAAACCAAATCACATGCACCCCTCATTATACCACAAATGCTTAGTAATTATTGAAAGTATAAAAGTATTTGTTTATAGACTATCTCTACATACCGTTGTGATACACATGTGTTGAGATAGAAATAAAAAACGTTTGAAAGCATCAGTTACATGTTAAGGCGAGAAGAAAACGCAAAAACGAAAATAGCAGCTGACTTTAACATTTTAGCGACCGTCCAAACGCACGTGGAAAATATTTTTAATTGAAAGGGGGCTATCATGTTGATATTGAAGCAAGGTTATAAAAAAGAAACAGTTTGAAAAAAGCTTGCAGTTTAAAAGAACGGAATGAAGGTGACTTCGAAATTTAAATATGTTTAGTTTAGGAGATCTAATTTAAGGTGAAATTCGAAATAAAAATGCAACATTTGAGAATTTTGAAGGAAAAAACAACACTGCCTTTAAGAGAGACTTCACTTATAATTCCTACCAACTCGGCTAAATATTGAAATATCGAAAAATATTAAAACAATGTTTGCTGTGATATATTAACGAAATAACCCCGAAAAGTAAACATTTTTTTAAAAGTAAAAGCACGTTTTCATTAACTGGACACAAAAATATAAAAATGCGTACAGTCGGTCATGATCATGCACTACACTCTACTGCAGGGTTTGATTTTTCCATGTTCCTGTGTTCAACGTGTCTAATTTAGAGGTACATTAGCCTTCTATGAACTTATGTGTGCTTTAATTTTCTAAATTCATCAATCCAGGGTCGTATATACTGTCCCTGATCAATCGAATAAGTAAAAGATCTAAATTAGCTTCTTTTTTTTTCTTGATCGAAACACAAGCTATCTATACTTTTTAGCATATTCGACGTAAAATAAATTTTCTTGTATCTTGTTATTAATTGCAGCAAAAGATTTTCATAATGAAGTACTTTTTAAAGTTGATTTACAAAATACCGAAAATAGCGATAGGATTATAAGGAAATCCAACCAATCGCAGAGCTCCAGTAGCCGGATTCATGTTTAGTGAATAAAATCCGAGGACTTCCGAAAAAAAATTGCTCGATGACAATATGGCTGCCCCCATGCAATAATGTGAGAAAAACTGATTTGATTTCTTTCAGCCATTGAAGTTAGCCATACAGGAAGCTATCTGCAAATCTTCTTTCGAAAGCAATTAAGCGGTTTCTCTGTTCGGCAATGTTAAATGTCAAACAATCTGCGGCAAGTGGATGCGAATCGTTCGTGTTGATTTCTCCTGGTGCTTTTCGATAAAACCCGGGAAATTCATTGCTGAAGAGATATCCGTGTTATTATGTTGTTTACATCTAGAATATGACACAGACCTTACGAAAAAAAATATTCACCCGTGGTTTTCTTTTTATCGTTGCTAAATCATTTTTTCTGTAATATATGAGGGAACAAGATAATGAAATATAGGAAAATAAGAGCTGTTCTGCAAGCATGACGAAAGATAGGACATGCACCTGATGTAGATTTGTAAGGATAACATAGCTGCTGCCTGCTTTATTACACGAAGCCCTTGTCTGTATTTTATTCACATTTACAAGTTACTTGTGTAAGTTGCATCACGGTGAGTGAGTCCCATGTGATAATCGTATAAGTCTTGTTAGCTTTATATATAATACTAACTAGGTCGAGATCAGACATCACTGATTTGGTCAAGTGTCCATGTAACATTAGTTTCCTGGCCAGATATCTGTAAAAGACCTTGGTTTTACATCACCTGTTGTCGATATATTAATAGCCGTAAGTTGAAGTTCAATTTTTTTTTTTTTTTGGAAGTTAGGACCAAAAAAAAAAAAAATGTTTCGGGTAACATGCCGGAAAACAAGTATCGTGTAAGGTTGGTAGGCAAATACTTTTGATACACTAGAGCTAGTATTATGAAAATTTAGGACAGTCTAGTAGTACTTTCCTCAAAATCTGCCTACCAACTTTTTTAAGTACTCTGAATATGGAATTGTTCACTCCTTCCCGATGTCATGTTAAACTATGAATTGAATTTCATTTAATGACTAAAAGAGCAATATCCAAAAGTATGTCTTCTCTACTTCTGCTGATTATTTGAATATGGAAATCAAATTTCAGTGCAAATATATAATAATAATTTGAGGTTCTTATATACTGCTTTATCACAACCTAGTTTGTAGGTCATCTCTAAGCGGTTCACAAATTATTATCCGTGGTTATATGGCCTTTGCAACCAGCCAAAATCTATCTCAACTCCCTGGATAGTGGGGAGCATATACTTGACAGTCGGTGCTGCCATTTCGGCGCTCACAGCTAGCATTCAACAATTCTAGCACTGCCTTACCACACATACTCATTTACAGCTGAGTAGACTGGAACAAGCAGAGTAAAGTATCATGTTCAAAGATACAACATGGTGACGTGATTGTTCAAAGATACAACACAGTGCCGTGGAGTGACTCGAACCTGCATGAGCCCGGCGTCCTACCATATGCCACTGCACTACCGTGCGTTAAGTGTAGAGTGAAAAGATCCAGGGAGAACGGATAATAACCGGGCCAGTGGGTGTGCTACTATATAGATCTCATAAATAATAACAATAGTATGAGTCACATTTTGGACTGGATCCGAACAAACAAACATCGGATGCATATTTCTTAAATAGATATATGTGCAAAGATGAAATAACAACAGTGCAGACGAAGGAATTTGTCAAATTTTCAGGGCAATCCCCCCCCCCCCCTTTTTCCTTTTTTTTTTTTAAAAAGAAGNAAAAAGTAGCAGATTGCCCTGAAAATTTGACTAAATGCTTTTCCTATATATATGTGATCAGGGCAAACCTGTCTTTATATCTAGGTATGGTTTGTAAAAAGTCTCTCGAAAGATTAAATTAGTAGCATCTAATTATTATATCAAAGAGGCTGGAAATATAGGACAAATGAGCCTGCATCACAAAATTGGATAAATTCATGAAATAAATTTGTAGAAGGTTGAAAATAGGGAATATAGTATCTGGAAAACAAACGTTTGATGTTTTTACCAGCTATAGTCAGTCATTAGGCCAAGAGTGTTTTGATCACGAAGTGCTGGTAGCTATGGGTTAAACTCCCAGCTACGGAGCCAACTTTTTTTCAGACCTCCAAAAAGGGTCTTTTGATAATTATTGTTTCCTTTGATGAAAATATCAGTTGTCCATATCAAATTGAGTCTTGATGTACAAAAGAGATATAATGAAAGTATAAACAAGTTTGAGATAAAGCTTCGTAACGTTAGCCCTGTTTTTTTGTTTTAGGTAGCTTTTTTTTATACAATTCCAGGTTGAACGATTATTCTTGAGCTTGATATACATGCATGTAATTACAACTAAACATAAATTAATTCAACATTTCTTTGTTATAGCACCATGTGATATCAAAATGGCTACCAAGAGGTCTAGGATTGAGTTGGACCCAGATTATCAAGATGTGACTGAACATCAAAATAAGAGACAGAGAGTTTTGGAAGAAGATGGTAAGGCCAAACAAACGACATGTTTGTTTCCTGTAACATGTCTGAAAAGATTACAGTACTGGAAGAAGGAAAGACATAGATTTTATTTTTCAATTTCTTGTTATAAAATTATATAGGAGAGTGTTCCTGATTGCTTCCTTGAAAATTGCCACAGAAAGTTTAGGATAGGTACAAAAAACCTAGGGTAGGTAGGGTAACTGGAATGATTGTTTTGGCCTAATATCACTTTTTATCAGCAAATAACTTGACACCAATATTATTTAAATTAGAGTTCAAGATTTAATGTCCATCATCAAGGAATTCGAAGTTGATGACAGGAAAGTTTAATAATAAAAAATGTAAACTAAAGGGTGTTATGATTGTCCTTGGGTTTTGTAGTGAGCTTGAAGCAATCATAAATTGACAATTGTCTAAGTGGCTAAGTGGAGCTCCTTTAATATAACTCATTGACTTGGACGTTAAATGAGATTATAATTTATTCCCTTTTATTTTACAGCTAAAGTTGCCACTCGTCTGAAGATAGAAAATATCATTAAAAAAGAATTTGCTGCTGAAGTCCAAAGCAGAGAGATGGAAATTGATTTGATTGACCAGGTACAATAATGTCACACTTCTCCAATTTTCGCCCTGTGTCCAAATGCCAGGCTAATTTTAGGCATCATAAATTTGTTTACTATTATGCACAAGGGAGACATATGAAAGAGTTGTAAAGAAAAACAGGAAACTGATACCTTGAAATTTGTATGCAGTGATTATAAATGAACTATAGAGCAAAATGAGGGTCATTTTGAATACATAGAGGTTTAATATATAATACTCCTTTCTTTCATCACTAGACTAATATTTCATTTCATCTGATCATTATGACAGAGGCTTAACCAAACTAGACTCATCATGGACCGACTGAGAGCATGCATCGTGGCCAACTACTATGGTTCTGCTGGTCAGACCAAGCCATGGCAGCAGGTAAGCCAGACAGCTTCACTGCAGGTGAAACTTCTTGTCTGTTTTTAAAATCTGTTGGCTAAGAGAGAAAATTTACAGAAAATCATTTAGTTTTCATTAATAGACATTTTTTTCAATTTATGTAATTGAGCTCGTTATGAAACGTTTTCATTTTTGAATTCCTAAAGTTGACAACTTTATGATGAAAAAGAGTTGAGGTATTAAGATTAACTGTTGTTAAACGGTTAACTTACCGTTTAATTGAACGCCAAAACAAGATCTCAACTGTACCTATTACCGTATTTGCCATGATGAGGAGAAATCAAAATCATACAGACCCTCTTCCCTTCCCAATCCTGACCTGGCTCAGTCTGGTGATCATGGGTTGTGATGCTGATGAAACATTCAATTTCCACACCGGAATGTTTATAATATCCTTCGGTGATAACAGTGGTTGAAGTTGCACATCTTTTTTCTATCTTAACTGAAGTTAATTCACATTTTATTACCCTTATGAGTGGGGCATCTTTAAGCCAATTTTTAAGCACCCTGGGTGGTAATTATGTTGAATATGGTGGTGATGAACAGCTTACAGCACATGTGAGATAAAAATAGATTGCACTGGTGAGAATTGAAATAAAGATGACTTGTTGCTAAATTAGGTTTTTATATTGCAGGGTAACAGGTCCGAGCCAGAACAGGTGCCCCCTATTCACCCAGCAGTGAAACAACAACTAGGCAAGGCTCCAAGAGGTAACTTCCCACCAACGGAAGCTGTTGATATCAAGAGCGAACCAGGAGATGAGCAGTTTTCTGCTGCTACGGACAAAGTCGGCTCAACTCTGCTGTCATCATTTAGCCTTGGCAAGGAGGTAAATGTGGGGTTTGTTAAGATATAAGTATTAAAGAGACCGTAAATTCAGGTTTACAAAATAACTATTGTTATTTCATTTAACAAAAGGAGTAGGTAACTGTTGTTTGACATAGCTCCAACAAGTAGGCAACTGTGGTGTATGTCATGATTTATGCTTTAGGCCAAATAAAATTAATTGCTTGGTTCTCAGGCCATTTTTTTTCAAAATAGATGCGGTAAATTTTTTTTTTCATTTTACATGGCCAAAATGAGACGAGGGCGATTTTTTTTTATAGTGTAGTTTGTAAAACGTTCATTATGGACATTACCTTGTCTTTTAATAGTTGTGTAGAGACCCATCATAGAGCAAGCCTCCGAAAATCCCCCCACGATGGTCCAGACGAAAATCACGAACCCCCCATTCCTTATCTGTACCAAAATGAGCGCCATTTGTACACAAGACTAATAAGTCATAATCATTTTAACGTTTGCCTGTATCTCAATCCTTACCTCTATTCAAATGTTTTCGGGACTTGGGTGACTAATGAGTAAAAACGACATGTGGACCAATTTTCCGGATTCTTTCAAAGGTGGCAGCTGGCGCATTCACGATTTTTTTAGATTACTTTCACGATAAAATCGGCAATGCACACGGTGCCATGAAATGCGCGCGGGCCTGAGAACCAAATAATCTTTTTTTTTTACCTTAAGGAGATGCTAATTAAAGTTTGTCATTATATTAGCACCAAGGGGAGGTAACTATGGGATTTGTCACAATATTAGTAGCAATGAGGGAGCTTTAAGGAGGAGATAATTCATGGTTGCCGTGGTGTAAGCACCAATGGGAAGTAACTGGGATATTTCATATCAGCACCAAAGGGTGGTAACTGGGTCTTTTCAAGATATCAGATTCAAGGGAAGGGGACTGTGTGGTTTGCCATGATTTAAGCACCATGGGGGAGGTAGCTACTGTATACTGGATTTTTTTTGCTGCAATTTAAATTTCACCTTTTTCGCCCGCTCCAATGAAGGTGACTTTATCATTGCAGTGAATATAAGTTAAGAGCATAATAAACATTCATAGTGATTGAATTTGAACGGTGAAATTAACACAAGGCGAAAATTGATTTCTTGATTTAAGGGCAAAAGTTTGACTGGGTGAAAAATTCCTGGTATACAATATATATATGGGATTTGTCATGTTATTGGCACCACGGAGGAAGGAACTATATGTTTGTCATAACTGTAACACCATTTTGTTTAAGTTCGAACAAAAACGTTTGTCAAGGGTAGGCCTGTTTTTATGAGATTAGCAGTAGCATCAAATTTATTTTCATTTTTCCCAAAGCTTCGTAATCGCAGTACATAAACCCTACCCAGTTGTGCTATAATTATTAGTCATTATAACATCTAAAATTGAAGTGATCAATTTCAGGAAGTAGAAGATGTTAAGGAAGTTGCCATGGAAACTGGTGAAGCTGACTCGTCAAGTCACCGATCAATAAGGGCTAAAGTGAAGAAGAGAATCATTGTTGGGAACGTGTCTAAGTACATTCCAGTGGATCGGCGCGAGGAGAATGACCAGCCCACACACAAGTGGATGGTTTACGTCCGAGGACCCAAGGACCAGCCCCACATCGATCACTTTGTGAAGAAGGTCTGGTTTCTGTTGCATCCGAGTTACAGACCTAATGACCTTGTAGAAGTTAGGTAGGTTGCTCTGTGATGTCACTGAGATGGTATAGGAATATAAAGAAGCATGTGTATATATATATTCAACTGAATTTATCAATTATGATGATGCCTGGAAATAGTCACAATTTGAAGAAAATTGTCATACCATGAACCTAATTTTATATAGCCCAATGACATGTATTTATCGAAAACATTTTGTAGTTTTGTTGAATTAACTTCAAATACAAAATTAATATAATAAAGAAGACTATATTTCTTCATTGTAGTATATTTGATTTTGGCTCACCTAGCCAAAAAGGCTCAATGAAGATAATGATTTTTTCGATTGGAAAATAAGTCGGAGTGCTTCCTGTCTGTTCTTAAATTCTGGAACAGCCATCCTCTGTTGAACTTCGCAAGGAAAGACTGTGGGGAATTAACTTAAATAAAGTTAATGATTTGTATCAGTCGTCCTCCGTTCCACATGACACGCAGAGGCTAAGGGGAATTTGTTTTATTGTAAAATGTACAGGAGTGTGTTGAGCCCAGTTTGTCAGTACGTCAAACTGCACCCGACTCACCCTGCAAACCAACCCAGGTTTCGATGGGTAACTTGTAACTGTCATAGAGGGAAAACAAACGCCTTGCAAAACAATTAACAATTTATTATTTACAACATAAGGCACATAGAAAACAATTACAATAGCCTAGGCCTGGCTAACATAGCAGATACATGTAAAGACTCCCCCCCCCCCCCCCCCCCCCCCCNCTAACTATAATCCAAAACTAAAGCTGACCCCCACATCCCAACTAAGTCCCTATCTAAAAATCTGAAACTAACCCTAAATATACCTGACGAAAAGATGTGACAGCACACAGGAACCTAATCCATCCGACTGCCCCGTGTACGAGACACCACCGTGTATTTATCCCACATTTGACAATACGAAAACTAAACGACCAATCACAACAGAGGATTCACAGAAACACACAGGTACAGCGGACACTGACGAAAAAAACAAGCATCTACGGATAATGCAGGACAAAAGCATCGACCTCAGACAGGACACGTGAACAGAGAACAACAGCAAAGGTCAGGGTGACACAGCTGGTACACATAGTATAGACACAACATACAGACATGCCGTTAAATTAAGCTTATAACCCTGTCAGCTTCCACTGTCAGCTTAACACTGTCGATGAACACACATATGGGATAATGTCCTCCTCTACATGTTCTATTACAGTCATCCTCCGTTCCACTTGACAAGGAGAGGATGGGGGGAGTTCCCTGTAAGAGTACAGCTGCACTTTAAAGATACAAGGAACAAACGTCTTGACATCATCCACCAGCTAAAGGTCAGATAATACACCATATAGCTCAAGGCCATATTGTATATATATATACATCACAACAGAAAAGATCAAAGTCATATATTTGATGTTACAGGCATCTTAAGTTCATGGTTTATGCTAAAACTTCTGAAATGAAGTTTAATATCAATGTCTTGTATGACATGTGCTCTTTCACGTTCATCAGACAATGATTGGTAACGAATATACACACTTAGGTGTTTGAAAATGTATGGGTTGACTATCAAATCATCAAATCAATTTGACTATGTTTCAAGACTATGCCTTCTTTAATTTAGTGTTAACAAATATGAACAAGATGACCCCAGTGGTCGTATTTACATGGGATTGCTAACTTCAGGTTCTGAAATATAGGAATCGCCTGTGTCTAACTGTAAATAACAGTCGAAAATTTCTATGATTTAAAAGGAAAATTATATTAAACTTTCACTACCTATTAATGTTGCTGAATTCATCATCTCCTAATAGCCACAAACACATAACATTGTGACACAAGAGAGTTGAGAATTATCTGCAGTACGTGTAAATACTGAAAAATATTGACCAGATATATGTCCATGTGTAATCTTATATATTGTGTCTCCCGCCTTGCAGCTTGACCGAACTTACACCGGACTGCAGACACTTGGAGCAGAGACAGTAAGTGTATAATTCCAAACATGTTCTGGAGACATATAGGTGTCAACCTCTGAAACCTTCAACGAGGGAGATCTCCCTCATTCCACATTTCTAATAATGAGGAAGAAAGTGTGTAAAATGTGACTGAAACTGCTTTGCTCAACTGATCTTTCCAGTTTTATGTATGAAAAATATCTCCAAAACAACATTAATTCGATTCAGACACCTGTTATGATCATTCCACACACCTTGCAGTAACTAGGAGATCATTTGATCACAGGATGTAGATTTTGAGTTTGTGTGAGTTTAGACTTGAATGAGGAAGTACATTCTGGTAAAAAAGAGGGAGGGTTGACAGCTTATATGTCTGAAGGTATTGAAAAGATAAGCCTCCTGAAAAATATTCACTGTACAATTTTATTTTTCAGCAAATATTTGGCAAATTGACTATATTGCTGCAGGAGTGCAAACCAACTTGTTTTGTGGTGGGGTGAATCTCAGATTACATGCATGACTGTAAATTCACTCTCCAACATACGTTATAATGAATTCACCAGCTTACATTTTGTTGAAAATTAAACATCCCAAGAGTCCTTAAATTTGCCCTGTATATATCTGGGCTGATATGCTATGGAGGCTTCTTATATAAATTACCTTGACCTACTTTAAAGGTCGCAGGGGTCAAGTATGTTTAAAAAAATAATTAATTTATGTTTTCTGAAGAATCAAAGTCTAGAGCCATGATACTTGGATGTGATATGTAGACTCAGTTGTGCAAGTCTCTTTCTGCAGTGTCGAGTTTATGTCAAAGGTCAACATCGAGCACTGACCGAGGTTATAAACATGGGCTATGTTTAGTAGAAATCTTTAATATTTTTCTTCTTGCGCTCCATGAACCCCAGGATCTTGATATTTGAAGGTCGTAGGTCAAATTATGAAACACCTTAAAGACTTATTCCAAGGTCATTACATGCAAAGAATTGAGATACCAATACATATTGATCGTTACCAGATTAACTATCAGCATCCTTGGGACCATAGAGGTGTAGTTAAAATAATTTGCCATGGTTGCTTAAATATCCAAGTGAGCAATACAGGCCCTCTATGACTCTTATGAAAATATGATGAATTCAACCACAACTTCCAAAAAATCCGCATTTTTTTAAGCTGTTATTGTATTCTAATCGGAGGGAAAATTTATGTAAAATAATTCTTCTTTTAAAGCAGGTTTTTCTGTGGTATAATTACATGACATCAGAGGACTCTACACAAAATACAAACAATTATTTCTGAGAGTATTTTTGTCATTCACTCGAAACAGGTTCTTTACAAGATGACATTACATACCGATCTTGTAGTCACTAGATTAACAGGTTGTATGGTGTCTGAAGCAAGGATATTCATTCAGATGATTATACTTCAGTGCAAAAGTGCTGACTCGTAGAAGATACACGGACATTCATTGTTATTTTTAACTTTTACAGGTTGTTGACGTTGAGCTTGATCCAGACTTTTTCCAAGAAAAAACAAAACAGTGCAAAGCTGTGAATAAGAAGGAACTCTCTAAACAAATGGGTTCATCAAATGTGAACGGTGATACCGGTGAAAGTTCAGAGGTCAAGCAGGAAGTAGTTGATGTGAATTTTACTATAAAGGAACATACAACGCCAAAGAAAGGAAATGCAACTGACAAAAGATCTGAACAAGGGGAGAAAACTCAGTTGCAAAGTAATCCTCGGGGAAGTGTTGACAATGGGACAGGTGTTGAATGTCTGTCAAACAAGGAAAACTGTTTTTTGAAAAGAACTAACGAATCCTCAGGAAGCCCTGCATCACAGAAACTTAAAAGCCCGGTGAGTGAAGCGTCTCTGATCAAGTGTATAAACAGTGTAAAGGGAATGCCCGTTGTGAACCCCTCAAACAAATTGTCTACTAGCTTAGTCGTTGGAAATCTACTGGTGAATTCTCAGGATGGAAAGACAACTGGGGGTACACCGCCACAGGTTAGCGTAGTCACGCCCCGAGCCACACCATCACGGTCTAATTCCACCTTGCTACTGTCGGGTACCTCGGGGGTACAGATGGTATTGGGTGGTTTCGGGTCTTTAACAGCGTCAGGTGTGCAGAAACCTACAGAGACAAAACTGCCTACTCTGACAGGGAAGTCTCTGCTGAAGAAAATGCCTGATTCCAAATCTATCGCAACTACGGGTAAACCTGCCTCCATGTCCATTTCCTCGCCGTCTTTGATACAGACTGGAACCGTTAACAGACTCGCTGGAACTCAAAGCCCATCTTCATTTGTGTTACAAGGGTTGGGTTCACTCAGTGGAACATCCTCTCCATGCGTTACAGACAGTACTGGGGGGAAACAAGTGGGCAGCAGAGCAGCTGTACAAGGTGTAACCGGAACAGCTACCAACATAATCGTGGCTGGTCCCACATCCGGAACTAAAACATCAGCATTTCATATAGTTACCTCTAACCAGGCAGATGGCTCTGGACCTTCGGGCCAGATGTCTGCACCTGCTGCAAAGGTGGGTGGGGCCCAGACAAATGAGTCTTTATCTGTAAACCCTGTTCAGCTTAGCACACCCCCTCAGACTCTGTACGTACGGTGTAAAGACAGTTCGGGGAATATCTTTCTTGTACCACACCATTTACTCAAGCAGGTTTCTACAACTGCCGCCAAAACTTCAACCCATAATACCTCATCAGCTGCCTCTCCTATTATTTCCAACGCTTCTCCAGGCCCTCTCATAGGTGTGACTTCAACAGGTGAGACTGGAGTTTCCTCCCTTTCACAGAAGTCTTTATTAGCTCGTTCTTCACAGGTGGAGAAAACGGAGCATAGGACTTTGCCACTACCAGGAATTTCTACAAGTGCAATATCGTCTCAGAGTACCACACTACCCTCGTCTGTGTTAATCAAGGTTGAGTCACAACCATCTCAAGGGTCACAACAAAATACCTCCAGCAGATCAGAATCTCAGAAAATGCATCTGCTGACCGGCAGTTCCCAGGGTTTGCAAGGTGTGACGTGTGCTTTAGATCTAAAGAAGCCTAGTACTGTGTTCCATGTGAAATCGGAAAGCGTGGACCCCACTCAGTCATCGTCTAAAGTCGTGAAGGATCTCTTTGCAGACCCGGCCAGTGATCATAAGTATTTTACACCAAATGCTTCACCAGAAAAGAACACCAGGGATGTCGCCGCATTTTCACACAAAGTTGCAAAATCATCAAATTCGCAGCCGAATGTTTCAGGCACTGTTCCTAGTGTTGAAACAAGGAAGGCCAAAGAACAAATATCAGATATTTGCACCACTAAAGTATTACCCCAGGGTCAACAAGGTCAGGGGTCAATGTCAACCTCTGGTCATCTCAAAGTCACACCCCATGGACTTAAGATTGTGGGCAAAGGGGCTGGAGAGGGTAAGCAGGGAAAGTCTCCGTCAAATACTCCACAGAAAATGACCACATTATTACAAAGTCAAGGAAAGCTTCTGACCACTGGTCAGGATATGACCACATTGATGCAGAGTCAAGGAATAATTCTGACCGCTGGTCAAGGGATCATTTCACAGTCCTCAACATCCACTGCAAATTCATTAGGTACCCTGTTACAGACCTCAGTGTTGCCTTCTCCTGGAATAAGGGATAAAAAGGAAAGGTCTACTGATGTAAAAAATCTTGAAAATTCTCAAGTTGAGACAGTTACAAAGAAGGTTGAAACACAGAGTTTACTTACAGGCAAAACTATGCTGACCTACAACAATGTCTCGAAGTCAACACACAGCTTGTCAACAGCATCAAAACATAAAAATATTTTATCGAATTCTGACAGAAAACCTATGGTGACGTTGTTAAATGGACAATCTATAGAGTCCAGTTTATGTAAAAACTCTCTGCTCTCTGGCGAAACGTCTCGGGTCATTTCATCGGTTACAGCATGCCAAACAACTTCTAGCACTCAGCAACCTGTAATGACCTTGACCTCATCGAAAGGTCAAGAGGTCAAGAATGTAGTGAATAGTGGGGTAGGAAAGTCATCCGACTTCACTCAGGGTAACCAAGGTAAAACGATGTTGGCCACCATCGGTAATCAGAGGCTTTTGATTCATGTACCAGAGCTGAACCCTGTCCGAGGCGAGGGTCACCAGACGGCTGCCATGGAAACATCTCCCTGGCTTGATGGAAGCATGAAAAACAAATACTTCATCAGTGATGAAACGTCCTCTGTTCAACCGAAGAAAATCATTTCTGTAAAAAAAAAGAAATGTTACGAAACCACACCTTTCAAACCAACTGAAGTTCCAACCATAAGGTACATAAATATATATATATAACTGTTTCTATAGAAATTCTGAAAGACACTTTTTTTTAATGTGGAAAGTTTTTGTGGAAATGTTTTGTGATTAGGACATTTTTTTTGTTAATTTTGGGAAAAATATTGAATACAAACACTGACAAACTATAAATTTCCAAAAAGGATTGAAAATGTTAATTTCTTTTTTTTCCTCATGCATAAATGTGAACTTCTGTTTTATTGTAAATTAGTACCCTTGTTGCCGTGACAGTAAGCAGATTTTGAGAAAAAAATTCTAATCCGTTGTACATGTTCTTGTATAATTGTTTTAATTCAATAACGAAATGTACATAATTATGTTTAAGGTTTAAATTAATCACAGGTAAATAGGGTTCTGGAAGAACCTGAACATACTCTTAAATTTGACGAAAGTCACAGAAACCCAATTTCGTCGGGGGGTGGGGTGGGGATATAAACGCAATATAAATATTTCGGTGTGTATGTAAAAAGTAGAAGTTTTGTGAATTACTGAAATCTGTGTCGGAAACAGAAATTAATCGCAATTTGATCAGTTGTACAGAACTACATGGCAGATATTGTTTGTAAAGAGCAGAAAATCTATTCTTTAAAAAATGCATTTCAAGTTACAATACATCCTCATAGTAAAACTACGTTATACTGCCACCATCACATGCCCAGAAAAACAAATGGCGTTATAAAAGGGTTTGGCGATAAATTGAGGGAAACGTATAAAGGAGTTTCTAAGAAAGGGAGAAAAAGGGACAATGAAATTTGTTGGCGGTATGTGAGGTGGCAAATGAAATAAGGGGCATTATATCAAGGTTCAACTGTACTTGTACCTTATAATATTGCTATGGCGCAATGTCCATTTAATAAATCTGTCGCATATATATAAAAAAAAAATGGTATATGTGATAACATCGTAAGTAACAAGGCATAATAAAATTGTATCCTTTATGGAGGGGCATTAGTGTTACCCTTTTGACTTTGTTTCTTAACAGATTTTAATAAAATATTACTCATAGGTCAAATATGAGAATAATTTGGATGATTTCATGTTTCCTGGTATCTAGTTCAAGATCAAAGTCACCATTACAAAATTGTCATTGAATTATCTCAAACTCAGGGGGCCACGGTGCTCAAGTGGTTATAATTGAAGCGCCTGACATTCTGCTACCACTAGCCCTCCACCACTGGTTCGCAGGTTCGAGGCCTATGTGGGGCAGTCGTTAGGTGCTGGTCGTAGGTTGGTGGTTTTCCCCCCGGGGAACTCTGGCTTTCCTCCACCACCAAAGCCTGGCACGTCCTTAAATGACCATAGGCATTATAATTAGCTGTTAATCGGACGTAAAACTCAAATAAACCAAACCAAAACCATTCCCATTCTTTTGTATAGGTTGTTTATTTCATGGGGTTATAATTTTCAGGGAAACATTTTTTATGCGAAAAATACAACCCGCCAAATCAACAGAAAATAAATCTATCCTTACTGTAGCTCATGTACATTGTGTCATGGCCACTATAGACCTTTCATGAATATGGGCCCAGATGTTTTATGAAACAAGCTTCATGTATGATTGGAATGTTATATCATCTATATGTTTAGTGGTTGTCTTCTCCTTGCAGTGTGGAGGACTTCCATGACTTGCTGTCATTGGTGAAGGCAGCAATAAGGAGGCATCCAGTGATTTGTGAGAATGTGGGTATGTATTTGTGAGAATGTAGGTATGTATTTGTGAGAATGTGGGTATGTATTTGTGCAACTGTGGGTATGTATTTGTGAGAATGTGGATATGTATTTGTAACTGTTGGTATGTATTTGTGAGATTGTGGGTATGTATTTGTGAGAATGTGGGTATGTATTTGTGGGTATGTATTTGTGAGAATGTGGATATGTATTTGTGAGAATGTAGGTATGTATTTGTAACTGTTGGTATGTATTTGTGAGATTGTGGGTATGTATTTGTGCAACTGTGGGTACGTATTCGTGAGAATGTGGATATGTATATGTGAGAATGTTGGTATGTATTTGTTAGAATGTGGGTATGTATTTTTTTATTGGAATCAAGTACGTCTGGTTTCCTCCAACATTTAATTTTGACCATCCACTGGTCATTATCTGGGCCAATGAGTGATTAATAAAAGTTGATACAACTTGTTTCATAGTTAATAATAATATACAACATTTGATAAAGCGCCCTATCTAGCTAGAATAAGCCACTCTAATTAAGCGCTTGACAGTAATTAGATATACAATTTATACAATTAGCATATACATTAATAAATACAATTTTGAGGAACTTGCAGGAGCTGCCTTACCAGACGCTTACTACTAGTCCTATGCCACCTGGCTAATATCTCCCTATGTGTGTATGCCTGCGTGTGTGCTGGAGATTTTTAGTTGTAAATGATAACATTTAGTTTAGTATTATAATAATAATGTCAATACCAGTCAGTCGGTTGTTGTACTTTCAGATCGCAGTCTCCACCCTTACTGTGCCAGATCTTCAGAGGAGTGGCTGTCTTGGAACGTCGGTAAACGGCGAGCTTCAGAGGTTGGTTGTGTGTCTAGGGTACTTAGCAGTCTATGGCCGAGCTGTGACTTTTCTCATGGCTTGAGTTATTTCTGATTTTATGGAACCTTTCACCGTTACTCATATTGTAGATTATTGAACTTCGGTTCCATACTCACTTAATTCCATCTTCGCTAGTCAAGTGTTCGCTTCGTATACTCTCCACTTGGCTAGCGAAGATGACTTAAAATTCAGGAAGTGACTTTTCTGTACCAGTTTGTAGGAACATTTTATTTCACATGTTTTGAGTGTATGTCTTTAAAGTTATAATAAATGAAACAATTATTTAGGTGATATTAGAATTTGTAAAAAGCTTACGAAATATATATGCAGAATGCAAAATATAGGTGGCAGGTCAAGACTCACGCATAAATTGATTTTGTAACCACACTAATTTTGCTCTTTTAGCGATGTGGCCTTGTCTTCTCTCATTAGCTATTTTTGGGAAATGGACCTTCCATTAAATTAAGAAATATTTGTTAAACTAAAGATAATGAAGAGAAAAAACAGCTTTTCAAACTCTAAATTCGTTTGTTAACAATAGCAGAAAGTAGGGAAATATCCAGATTATACATGTATTATCATGATAGTGATGTGTCCTTTTAACCAGCAGATCTAGACTGGCATGGGGAACCAAGAAAAAACCTATGGTGATGAGGAAATAAGTGTTTATTTTTCTGTCATATAGAAACACAATGTATACTATGCTGTGTATTCTGATCATTTCAGTGGCAGAGGGCATCTTTTACCAGGAAATTTCTGTTGAAGAACCTCCATGGCGAAACCTCCTTCAAGGGGGAGTCACTCTGGACGACTAAACAGATCATGGTGTGGTGTAGACTACATGTCTATAGTCCACACTTCCTAGGTATGGACACTAAGGAGAGTTACAGCATGAAGTCGTTATAGTTACAGCATAAAATCACTAGAGTTACAGCAAAATAAAATCAGTGGAGTAAAAGTATGAAATCGGTAGATTTACAGTGTAAAATCATAAGAATTTTAGTATAGAAATAATTACAGTTACAGTATAAAAGTAGTAGATTTGCATAACATGTATAAAACAAGTTAAACTACTGAATAAAATCTATAGGATTTCAGAACAAAATAAGTTCAAGTTTGAAATTAATAAAATTCTAGAATTATAAATCATGGTTTGAAAAAATTGATGTTACAGTATTATATTTGGAGTTGTTGTTACTCCTATAACATAAGAGGCCGCTGGTCGGCCTTTTTTCTATCGGATAAGATTTTGCCGACTGTTACATGGCGCCTGTCAAAAGTTTCTCGCCGTGTAAAACCTCTAACATTGTTGGAGTAGAGTAATTGTATGACATTATAACTAGAGTATTAAAACAGTTGAAGTTTTGTGATATAAAGCAGAATAATTAGATGAGAAGGAAAATATAAAAGCAGTTATATTAGTTCCAGCATAAAATCAGTAGGATTTACAGTATAAAATTGGTGGTTATAGTGAAAATATTATGCAGTATCAAATCAGTAGAGTTACAGTATATATTCAGTTGTTGCAGTATAAAATCAGTAGAGTTACAGTATATATTCAGTTGTTGCAGTGTAAAATCAGTAGAGTTACAGTATAATGCTACTGTTACAGAGAAAATGCTGCATCCGTCCCCAGTGGAACTCAGTGCTGACTCCAGTATGCTGGGCAAGATGTACAGCTCGGCAACGGACTCTGATGTCATGATGTCCTGTATACAGGATATTAATGCTACAAATGGTGCCGATGTTTTAGACGAGAAGGATGTTGATATAATATCTGTGGGTAGGTGAATCAGACTTACGTGATGGCTGTCATGTGTGATTAACCTATTGTAAATGTGGAAGTTTATACGCTTGTGTATTATAATTAACACTTATTGGGTGCCATTGTTTCCTTTTATACTAAGTGGAACATTTACTATTTGGAATGACATTGTGGTTTCAGAACCTCCGAAAGTGAAGGTGAAGACGGAGATGACAAAAGAACTGGTGTACTGTGATCCCGTTGTGCTGCCGCCATCACGCAAGGCTCGCTTTGTGCAGGACCTGTCCACAAAGGTATTTATTATATATAGGTCACAATGACCAAGTTATCAGTAGCTTTTAAGTACAGCAATACTCATGAATAGTCAATGGAGAAAAAGTTCTAAATTGAGGGATTTCCCTCTCAATTCAGCAATAATCTTACAGATATTGTGGCTATTTTTTCCAACTTGATGAAACAAAATATTCTCAAATTGATTAAAAACAATTTTAAAAAAAATCTCCAAAATAATTTTAGTTTAAAGAATGTTCTCCTTGCAGATGTTTAATAACACATGTAAATTTGACATCAACAAATTTTAATTATATTTTATCATTAAAAATAATCCATTGTTGAGGGTATGTCAGATAAATTTCAACCAAAAGGGTTGTTTGAAGCTAGACATTTAAAAGAACCTCATCCCAGCGGTTAACATTTCTTTTGCATACCCTCACCAGAGGGGACGATTCATTCCAATCACCAATTAAGCTCAGAAACCTTAATCGTCTTGACTGGCCACTATCTTGAAAAAATATTTAATTTTCCCTGAGGTTTTTGAATGAAAATCAGCCTGTAAGATTCAGCATACCTATTTCACAAAACGTTTTGCGCAGAAAAATGAGTCCTTACTTTCTGACATTTAAGGTATATAATTCATACAGTTTTTAGTTTCTCCTCAGAATTGTCCTTATTTTGTGACATCATAAAAATGCTTGTAAAATGGGCTGTAAGATATATTTTTCTCTGATTTCCTTGAGTGTAAAATAGAACTGTCCAGGGTAGGAAAGGGGTGTTGGAAATTTCTTTCTTACACCCCATTTCACTTTGACGTGACGTCACAATGGCTCAACAATGACATGTTGTCACGAATTTGGAAATCTCTGATGCCGCAATTCGGAAAAGGCAACGTGATTAAATTCACCATACACATAAGAAAGATGAGAATTTTTTTTTTCTGCGTAAATGTTGTTTGCAAATATAGCATATGCTAAATTTCGCTGACTGATTCGTTTGGCCAAAAATGCTTAGGGGAAAAGTTGATATTTTCAAAATGGTAGCCAGGCCTAACTCATTTTCATGGTTTCTGAGCTTATTCTAGTAGTTGGAATGAGAGAAAAATACTCTTTCATGCTCAAAGGTGTAGGATAGGGAAATTCCACTCTCAGGATTTTCAAATGTGGCAAAACCCTCCGAAAAGCCTCTGGTTTTACCAAATTTGAAAAACCCTAAGGGTTGGAACTTTCCTATCCTACACCTCTTGGCCTTATATGCAGACTCTCCTTACCTGCCCAGGACAGTTCTCTCATACCAACACAAGCAACTTGCAAAAGAGGACAACTTTACCTGTTGTATAATCTGTTGCAAAACACTTGAGTATCTCATAGGTTTGGTACATGTATACATGTACAATGAATTATATTTATTCAGATTGGGGCGAGGTATGAGCCGACTGAGGTCGACGGAGAGATACAAGGCTCGGTGGTCGAGGACATGATATTCTCAGTAAGTATGTTTATATTAGGGCTCCGGAGTAAGATATGATGATGCCCCTGCCAAAATCACACTGTCTGTCTATCCTTCCGTTCGTCAGTGGAATGGATTTCCGCAGCAATTCTCTCTTATTTCACATACATCTTGAAATATGTTAACACTTAGTCTCTTATAAAGGAGAGTTTCGATTCTGTATCCATGTTATTTACTGTTTCTCCTGTAAAGACATTCTGCATGACTGATGAAATTCTTGGTAGAATTGAAGATGACACCGACTATACTTGGGTGTACTGTACACTCACAGAAGTATTTTAAGATATTAAATTATATTGCAGCATTAAAGAAAAAAAATACTTCCATACACAATGACCTGTTGTACTGTATATTTCAATATTAATCCAAACATAGGTTGAAGCAGCTGAGATATGGCCAATGTAATTGGAAACATTGGATCTGCCAGCTTCAAAACATTTTCATTTCATTAATATATAGCAGATGCTTTGTTTTGAAACAAGTGTTTCCTACCTAAAATTTTGAAAAATTATTAAAAAAAAAAAGAACCTCAAATAATATTTCCTACCATTTTGAAAATTCTATATAAACTACCTTACACCTAGTATTGTGAACATGCATGAAGTTGTAGCGCAGACAATGAACTAAGATATCTTAAATTTTCTGAAGAGATTTTTGTATTCTCTCAATTAAAGGACATCATGTATCTTTGAGTTGGGAGATGTGTTGTATTATCAGTGTTAAGAGATATCTTATATTCTTTGAGGTAAAAGATATCTTGTTTTTTCTGACTAAAAGATATATTTTGTGTTCTTCCAGTTAAGAAATATCTTGTATTATTTGAGTTAAGGGGATGTCTTGAATTCTCTGAGTAAAGAGGTATCATATTATTTTAATAAGAGATATCTTGTTTTCTTTGAGTTAAGAGATATCTTGTATTATTTGGGTTAATGGGGTGTCTTGAATTCTCTGAGTAAAGAGGTATCATATTATTTGAATAAGAGATATTTTGTATTCTTTGAGTTGAGATATATCTTGTATTCTTAGTGTTAAGTTTGTTATGAATTTCCCGTATGCTGATCGTATGAATCATAACTCTGTTGTTTCTTTGTGTTCCAGTCCATGAAGAGCTTTATGAGTGATATACTGAGAGAAACATACTCTATGAAAGTGAACATGGGAAGGTGAGACAGTTTACTCCTCATTAAACTATGAAGGACACTGAGGTCAAAATTTGTAATACAATCATAGTACATTTCACTTCAGTATACTTCAGTGATTCAGTCTGTCTTGATGGCAATAATATCAGGTTTAGTGACACACTGTCATATCCAATCAAATGATTCAGTAATTGATTGCGTAAAAAACAGGTTTAGTGACACACTGACGTATCCAATCAAATAATTCAGTAACTGATTGCGCGGTAAAAACAGTTTTAGTGACACACTGTCGTATCCAATCAAATGATTCGGTAATTGATTGCGTAAAAAACAGGTTTAGTGACACACTGTCGTATCCAATCAAATAATTCAGTAATTGATTGCGGTAAAAACAGGTTTAGTGACGCACTGTCGTATCCAATCAAATTATTCAGTAATTGATTGCGGTAAAAACAGGTTTAGTGACACACTTTCGTATCCAATCAAATAATTGAGTAATTGATTGCGGTAAAAACAGGTTTAGTGACGCACTGTCGTATCCAATCAAATAATTCAGTAATTGATTGCGGTAAAAACAGGTTTAGTGACACACTGTCGTATCCAATCAAATAATTCAGTATGTCTTGATGGGGGTAAACACAAGTTTACTGACATCATTAATATGTTTGTGTTACAGGTATGCAGACAGTGTGGGTGTAGGTGATGTGTACCGTACACTTGGAAGGTTACCCGAGACAGACTTTCTCACAAATCACCATCTCGGTGTGCAACCTCACAATTCGCTTTCCTCAACCACCGACAGGTGACAAAGGCTAAAGATTAGGAGAAAAAACATCACAACACGCTCTACATAACTACCAACAGATGACAGAGGTTAAATGTTGAGCAGAGACAACCTCGCCAAACTCTTTTCAGGGAACAATCTCGGGACCATATTATTACTGTGTACAGGAGGGAAAATCTAAATACTGGGGAGGAACAATCTCGTCCTATGCTTCGCAAGGAACAATAATCCTGGAATCCTGTCACTGCTAAATGGGGATGAGGGAGACCATTGAATTCATAAACATTAATATGTTAAATACAAAGTATTGCAACAACATTCAGCTACCTCTTCATCACCCTCGATATCCAGGGGTAACGCTCACTTTCGCTCACTGCACCCCTGGAATATGTCAAAGCAAAATCAAAGGCTCAGTGGGCAGCAACTTGAAGATAAGACGAGAAGACTAGTTTGATCCATTGATGTTCATCAACAAAATCTTGCGGTCACGTAACGGTAAAAATTGACAGACTTTGAAGTCAGGAGTCTCTTCTTTGTAATCTTCAAAGGACAGGTACAATGTATCAGCCTATCAATTGGTCGGTGTTTTTTTTAATTGAGACCAATCAAACAGCTATCTTTGTACCTTCAATTTTGCTATGATGTATTCCAGGGGTGTAGGGAGCGAAAGTGAGCGTAACCGCTGGATATCGAGGATGCCTCTTCATAAAACTTGAAATTTAGGCCACACCTTTCTAAACCACCAACATGTGAAGTTGAATCTACAGTCATGGAACATTAGTATTCGTTGTTTCCAAGATGGCGTCGTATTGTTTACATTTTTAGCAAATTATTCACACTAGCATTTTAAAGTGATAGGAGTATATTCAAACTAGCATTTTAAGGTGATTTGGTTAATTTTTGCCTTTCATACGTATTACCTCCAAAATTCTGGTTGGAATTGTGTTGCACCGAAAAAACGAACACTAGATGCAAATTGGAATGTTGCGCCACTATCAAAACGACGGATACTTATGTCCCAAGACTGTAAGTCTCAAAATCTTGATTCAGTGCACAATCAAAGATTTGTCTTAACTACCATCAGGTGACAATAACTAAATATCTTACGGAAACAACCCCACTGAATATCCTACTCGGATCTATCTTGTGACAATCCCACTTACATAATAGGTGACTAAGGCTTAATATGCAGAGGAACTCATTCCTGGGACCCTCCCACTGCTAAACTGAAGATGGGGACCAATGAATGCATGAATTTTACTTGAGTGTGTACAGTGCATCCCATCCTCAAAGTTCTAGAGATTGCACTTGCTTACCTTCTCCTCATCCCTGGAAAATATATCTCATGATAAAATTGCATAGTTGTCAACATCCCTTCCTCATAAGAAGGGAGACTCCCTCATTTTAACCAAAATTTACCAATCTCCCTCGAAACTCCCTCATTCCAGTCCAAACTCACACAAACTCAAAATCTACATCCTGCGGTCAAATGATCTCCTAGTTACTGCAGGGTGTGTGCAATGATCATAACAGATGTGTCTGAATCAAATGAATGTTTTTCGGAGCTATTTTGATACATAAAAAGGGAAAGATAAATTGAGCAAATCAGTTCTATTCGCGTAATTTCTCCCTCATTTGAAATGTGGAATGAGGGAGATCTCCCTCATTGGAGGTTACAGAGGTTGACACCTATTAAATTGAGGGCTTTGAACGTGCCACCTTTGGGATGATACAAGTAGACTAGTGTAACAGAGGTCATTATTTGTTCAATGTCTCCACGAGGAGTCGAACCCGGGACCTCTGGCTTACTAGCCTTACGCTCTACCAAATGAGCTAAAGAGAAATTCTCCCTAGCCGAGTCGGTAGGAAGCTGCTAGTATTTTACCAGGGTGACACTAGTTCGATCCTTTATGTGCGTACATCAGGAAGAATTGCACAGCAGCCTAATGGTAAAATTGACCTGCTTTGCAGCAATCTCATTAAAAGCCTGTTGCAGCATAAGTAGCCTGCTATTTATCAGCTTTGAATCGGCCACTTTTTCAGAGTATGTATCATCCTCAATACTCCAGGGGTTACCATCACTTTCGCTCTCTGCACCTCTGGATTATGTCATAGCAAAATCGAAGGCTGAGCCTGTACAACCTCGTGGGTGAGATGAGAAGACTTGTTTGATCCTTTGATGTACATCAAAAGAATCTGTTGGTTGTGTAACAGTAAAATTCACTGTCTTTGAAGTCTGGTGTCGCTCCTCTGTAATCTTCAAAATACAGGTGTCAGCCTATTGATTGTTAAGTTTTTAGCTCACCTGGTCCGAAGGACCGTGGTGAGCTTATGCCATACCGCAGTGTCCGTCGGCCGTCGGCCGTCCGGAGCCCGGCCGTCAACTTTTCCTTTAAAATGCTACTAGTCCTGAACGGCTAAGTAAATTTTGACTAATTTGATCTGGAGCATCCTTAGGCCAAGGAGACTCAATATTGTATAAACGGTGGATGTGGCCCCCCTGGGGGCAGAGGGGCAGGACCAAACAATGGAAATAGAGGTAAAACCTTTAAAATCCATGGTCTACTGTAGGGATTAAGGGATTTTATTCTAACTTAGTCTGGACCATCCTTGGGCCAAGGGAACACATTTTTGTATAAACGATGGGTGTAGCCCCCTTGGGGGCAGTGGGGCGGGGCCGAATAGGGGAAATATAGGTAATACCTTTAAAATCCTTCTTCTACCATAGGGATTGAGGAATTTTATCCTAAATTAGTCTGGAGCATCCTTGGGCGAAGGGGACACAATTTTGTATAAACGGTGGGTGTGGCCCCCCTGGGAAATAGAAGTAAAACCTTTAAAATCCTTCTTCTACCATAGGGATTAAGGAATTTTATCCTAAATTAGTCTGGAGCATCCTTGGGCCAAGGGGACACAATTTTGTATAAACGATGGGTGTGGCCCCCCTGGGGGCAGAGGGGCGGGGCATAACAATGGAAATAGAAGTAAAACCTTTAAAAATCCTTCTTCTACCCTAGGAATTAAGGGATTTCATTCTAATTTAGTCTTGTGCATCTTTTGGCCAAGGGAACACAATTTTGTATAAACGGTAGGTGTAGCCCCCTTGGGGGCAGTGGGGCGGAGCCAAATAGGGGAAATAGAGGTAAAACCTTTAAAATCCTTCTTCTACTATAGGGATTAAGGAATTTTATCCTAAATTAGTCTGGAGCATACTTGGGCCAAGGGGACACAATTTTGTTTGAATAGTGGGTGTGACCCCCCTGAGGGCAGAGGGGTGGGGCCAAACAATTGAAATAGAAGTAAAACCTTTAAAATCCTTCTTCTACGGTAGGGATTAAAATATTTTATCTTTATTTAGGCTGGAGCATACTTGGGAAAAGGGGACTCAATTTTGTATAAACGGTGGGTGTGGCCCCCTTGGGGGCAGAGGGGTGGGGCCGAATAGGGGAAATACAGGTGAAACCTTTAAAATCCTTCTTCTACCATAGAGATTAAAATATTTTATCCTAAATTAGTCTGGAGCATCCTTGCATTTTGGTCTTGGTGTGGCCCCCCTGGGCGAGGGATGGGGCCAAATAGGGGAAACATAGCAAATTCTTCAAAATCCTTGTCCTTCTGTAGGAATGACAGGATTTTGTCCAAATTTGGTATGAAGTATCCTTGGGTGAAGGGGAACCAATTTTGTATAAACGGTGGGTCTGACCCCATTGGGGACAGAGGGGCAGGGCCAAATAAGGGATATAGAGGAATAGCTTTAATATCCTTTTTTCTTCCGTTAGGATGAAGGTATTGACCAAATTTGAACAGTAGCATCCTAAGCGGAAGGGAAATCAACTTTGTGTAAATGGTGTGTCTGAGCTCCTGGGGCCTGAGAGGTGGGGCCCAATAGAGGTAATTTAGCAAATTTTTGAAAATTCTTCTTCTGTAGGAATAACAAAATTTTGTCCATAATTGGTCTAAAACATCATTGGGTAAAGGCGACCTGATTTTGTATCAAAGGTGGGTCTGACCCCCCTTGGGGCAAAGAGGCGGGGCCCAATAGGGGAAACACAGCAAATTCTTCAAAATCCTTCTTTTCCTGTAGGAATGTCAGGAGTGTCCAATTGCATAAATATAACCCCGGACTAACCATGTAATATATGTACACTACAAGCAACATCTAGCTATTCCAACTTCAATTTTACTAACATTTCCAGGTGAGCGATACAGGCCCTCTGGGCTGCTTGTTTGTTTTACCTGACACTGATCAAATAGCTAGCATTTGCCTTCGATTGTGTCATGACATATCCGGGGGTGCAGAGAATGTAACTGAGGGTATCCCAGGAATTTTGAGGATGGCAGTTGGTGTCCCAATAAGTTACAATATCTGTACTGCAATTGTACGGCCATTTATCAGATTAAGTCACCAAATAAAACGGTTTGTTTAATAAGCAATAAGAGTAAAAACTATTACATGTGAATGTTTTCCAATCAGAAAATGTTCAGGTCTTTCCGTCAGGTTTTGTATATGCTATACATGTATATAGAGTAATCGGGGACCAATCATTGTGTCATGTCAATTAATTGCGGAAATTCCCACATGGTTTCAGCAGTTCTGCTCGAAAATATATTGCCTTGTTGTTTATTATCTCTGAGTATATGTTGGAATGAAATTGTGTTGCATAACATCATTGATGTTAAAAAGATGCATTTTATTATTCTAATATGTTGGTAGCAAAATGCATGCATGTTATATCACCAAAAATGCACATGATTTTAATGTAGACTATTTAATAGCGGAGTTTTCAAGTCACCATTTTGTCTGCACACTTGCATACAAACAGTATACCGTATTGTTTTGATATGGAAATTCTTATGGTAGCTATAGTATACTGTCTGTATGTCTGTCCATCTGTTAAATTGTTCCTGTCACCTCTATACCACACTTTGACTGACCAGTGCATCATCAGTGATTTTCAAGCCAGTATGAAATGAGTTGAATCACATACAATGTACCTACATGTACCCTATAATATTACCCGAGACGTACATTACATTTTTCAGCATGTCTTCGATCATACATTGTTTCTGAAGTAAATCTGCTGTGTACTGAAGGAAATGTAACCTATTTTTTGTTTTTATTATTCCCCCTGCAATGAAGTTGCATTGGGGGTATACTGGATTCACCATGCCCGTCTGTCGTCCACAAAATTTTGTCCGGGCAACTCCTCCTTAACTTGTGTACTGATTTCAACGAAAGGTTACAGATATCATGATTACCCCATGATGTTGTGCATCCAGGCCCCGCTTATTAGGTCACCTGAGACAAAGTCTCAAGTGACCTATTGCGATCGCCTTTTGTCCGGGGCGTCCGGCGTGCGTCCGTAAACAATTTACATTTTCGACTTCTTCGCCAAAACCCCTGAACCAATTTTAATGAAATTTTGCAGAAACCTTCCATGGCCAAAGGTCAACTTAAATTGTGAGTTATATGGTGCCCAGCCCCCAGGGGCCTGATGGGTGGGGCCAAAAAGGGTAAAATTGACTAAAATTTCAAAAATCTTCTTCTCAAGATCCAGATATGGTAGAATCAAATACTCTCCATAAATAGGAGGGTCTTAAGGT